TACAAATTTTCTAAACAATATTTTGTGATAATTATTTCCAATTAGATATTTTTCTATGGTGTTTGAATGGTTCATTATTCCTTAATGTGGAATAATCCCTATTTTTGGACAGTCTTCTAAGCTTTAATATAAACAATACTGTGATAAATGTCCTTGATGCTTAATATTTGTGAACTCCCACAAATATTTTCTTGTATATATATCCCTTAAAGTGAAACAACTGAGTTAAAGGGTATGTGCATTTTTAAGGGCTTTTATAATTGCCAAATTACCATTCAGAAATGTTTTATTGATCTATATACCCATTAACACTTATATAACAAAAGTGATCATCTTTCATTTGTATGAGCTGTCTATCTCCCATGTACCACCTAACCGGGCCCTAGTTTTCAGTCAGTCTAGTGAATTCTCATATGAATTGGTTCCTGATATTCAGGAAGCCACAGGAATCTCTTTCATTAACTGGCTATTCTAATGTAGCTTCTGTCTGTTCATGCATTTCTTCCTATGCATCTCTCTCAAAACCCCAAATAAAATAAACCTAGTCTATGATCATGCCACCTTGAACACGCCCGATTTCGTCTGATCTTGGAAGCTAAGCAGGGTCGGGCCTGGTTAATACTTGGGTGAGAGACCGCCTAGGAATACCAGGTGCTGTAGGCAAAAACAAACAAACAAACAAATAAATAATAAAAAATAAACCTTAGGTCATAGAGCATAAGTAATGAGCAAAAGTTTAAGTAAACCTTATTTGCGTTGCTGTGATTCATTAGCTTCTTTATTCAAAAGCCTCATTAACTTGAAACATCACTCAGACTAAAAGCGTATGGTCTTACAAGGATTTCAAAGTAGTTTTACATGATCTGTCTCCTCATTACCTCTCTGAGCTTATTTCCTATTAATACTTTCCTCATTCATTCTGTCTCAATCATACAGACTGCCTTACTGTTCCTCAAACACTCTAGAAATACAACTATCTCAGTACCTTTGCACCTACTGTTCCTCCTGGATTCTTTGTCCCTATATATATATGTACATGACACATGTCCTCACTGTTTTTCAGGTCTTTACTCAAATTTCACCTTCTCCTAGAAGTCTTCACTCAATCTGAAATTGTATCACATGCCCTGTCTGTGCTTTCTTATATTCTTCATGCTTATCACTTATTAATATTTCATTTGTTTTACTTTTGTGTGTTTTCATTGTTTATCTCTCCAACCAGAATGTGAGCTCCATGAGGGTAGTCATTTTGGTCACTTTTGTTTATTGCTATATCCCTAATTCTAATGACAACACCTAGCACGTAGTAGCTGCTCAATAAATATTTGCTCATAAGTGATATATACTACCATTACTTCCATTTGCAAATATAAGAGACTGCGTTCACTCTCTGTCACAAGGATTTTTCTTCTTCTGAGACACAGTCTGGGTGATTTCTGTTCCCTTCTAATCCTCTTTTTTCTATATGAAAAGTGGTACACATGACTTCTTTTAAAAGAACTATGCAACCAGGGCAAATGGTTTAAAACTTCTAGGTTAGGGCAAATGGTTTAAAACTTCTAGGTTAAGGCAAATGGTTTAAAACTTCTAGGTTAGGTCTCAGTGCATTTCATCTGTAAAAAGAATATTCTCTTTTCTTCTATTGGCTTGTAATTGAATTAAATGCAATAATATAAACAACAGGCAAAAAATATAGATATAAACAAAAATTAGCATGATACAGGGCATAATTTATATTTGAAAAAATATATATATTAGTTCTCTTTTCTTTCTTTCCTTTAGAGTTACAAATTTTAAGGAAAGTTCACTTAGGTAACAACTCATTAATGCAATAAGGTGGAGTGAGGCAATCCAGTTACAAAAAAAGAGTGAAATGTCTGTATTAGCTTCTAATGTAGTATAAATATAAATATACCAACATAACTTATTCTTCAAGTCCTTCAATTTTCTGCCATCCTCTTCCTAGTTTTCTCGTAGTTAAAGAAATGCTGGTGAATTTCCAAGCATTATGTTTTTCAAAGGTTAGTTATCTTTAAATTTTTCCAAATGCAGCATCCTATTCTGTTCTTTAAAGAGAATGTTCTGGTTTGTTTTAATATAGCTGTTTCCCAGTCACAATGTGACATCCAGATTTTTTGTCTCCCTAGCTAACTGCTAGCCTGTTAATTGTACCCTGGACAGTGAGAAGCAGAGGTTTTTAGAGCATCTTTGAAGTAGGACTTAGGGAGTCCTTAGAAGTTTGGTTAAGGGGGCTATAGCATGCCTGCGGGCTTTCCCTAACCTGAAGCTTTCTTTGCACGTGGACGAGCCCAAGAGCCATTCTGTTTGCATGAATCACAGGTGTGCGTGCTTGCTGTTCAGGTGGATTAGTTCTTGGGCCTCAGGACATTCGATGTATAAAGATAGAAAATCAAAGTAGCTGTAAAAACCATTATGGTCTTGCTCATCCACTTTTGTCCTAAATATGGCTCCTCATTATGCTTAGAGTCTTAGGAACTGTCATTTTTTTTTTCTTGATTGTATCCTTGGTATGTGACTACCAACAATTCTTTATCTAATCCTCTAAATGAATATCAAAATAAGGTCAATAAGATACTCAAATTACTAATGTTCGAAGGAAAAGTTTATATTATCTAAGTAAGTGAATGGATAATCCTATTCACTGACCTGAAAATTCAATCAAAATAATCATATAGAAGAAGATGCTTTTCATGTTGTTTTATAATCATAAACTCTAATGAAACAATTGAAGGTTAAAAGATTTTATAATATGTAATCACTATAGAAAGATGCTTAAGAATCTCAAGAAGTATATATGATGTCAGCTTACTTAGGCAGTAAATATTGATGGTGCTTAACTACTCCTTTCTTGTGCTGTTATTTAAGACTAAGCTTTATTCTCACTTCCTCTTCCCACACTCTGTTTCTCCCAGAGTTCTAGGAAGAGCAGAGTGCCGAACTTTTTATAAGAATCCACACTAACATGAGATGAAACAGGGTGTAGTTACAGTTTTGTTGTTGGAGTTCGTTTTTCTTTTAGGCAGCAAGTACTAGAGCCAATGGAAGGTACACTTGTAGGGTCCAGAGCCATCTGCTTACTAGTTGCTGACAAGCCTTAGAGTGTTGAGGAACACCTGTGAACTTCAGATGATTGGAATGCCCCATTGATAAACTAAACTTGAGAAGATATGCTTTTAAAAGAGCAAATTTACTTTAGCATCCGCTTCCCACCAGAGTGGGAGGGAGAATAGAAGCATCTTCCTAATGTGACTAAGTACCTTCTGTTGTCATCTTACTCTGTCAGTGCATCTTCCTTTAAGAACCTCACTCTACAGTCTACGGCCATGCCACCCTGAATGTGCCCAATCTCGTCTGATCTTGGAAGCTAAGTAGGGTCAGGCCTGGTTAGTACTTGGATGGGAGACCACCTGGGATGACCAGGTGCTGTAGGCGTTAAAAAAAAAGACCCTCACTCTACAGAGTTACTTCCTGTCATTACCTTCGCTCTTGTTTCTTCCATCAGTTTTGAAAGATAGTTGAGGTGGGCACTTAGACATTTTTTAAAAGGCAAAGGGAAAATTGCTGTTAACCCTTCCAAACATGCGGATCTTCTCCCAATTCAACTACTGTAGGGAGAATGAGCAGGGTATTGCATGGCTGATGAAATGAGATTTCCTAAAATACTTTTCCATTTTTTGTCTTCATATGAAACTATTTGAGAATTCTTTGTTAAACATCAGAAATCTCTGTTCTGGTTACTGGCTGCTTCTCCTTAGCGGCGACCGTATGGCTTAGCGCCTTAAGCACTGGGCTATGACTTAGGAATTGTGTTTTTATGTTTAAGAGTCCATCTTCTGTTATTGATGACAGCTGAGCCACCATCCATAAAATGTGAGTAATAAATTATACTAGAAAGTAAAGAACAGCAATAAATTCTTCTCATAATTCTGAAGTGATATAAATGTATGTAAATTATGATAGAGACCACGGTGGAAGGAATACATTCTGAATACTTAGGGAAACAGACATTTTTGATATTTTGGATTACTTGGAATTTGTTTGGTTTGGCAATTAATTCCTTAGGCATATGTACGTGTATGTTTGTGTATATAATAATAAGCCAGTGGTTTTGAAACTTTTCACTATCAATACCCTCTTTTCTTGTTCCTACACAGATACAAATCTCATATTTAAAAGATTCTGTTAAGTACAAACTTGTGTTTACCAAATAACAAATGCTTTCCTCCATAAAAATGATCACTTTTTTATGGTTATTATGTAATAGCTGCTATTATTCTAACTGTTAAAACTGGAGATAGAGAAAACAAATTTAACATTTTTGTTAATCAATGCCAACTAATTGTAGGTAAGTGTTTGGCCTTGCTGAAATACTCAGCAGAGTAAAAATATCTTTTTTTTTTTTTCCTATATTTTTGGCCTTCTAGAAGTCCAGAAAAAACAGATTGAGAAAACATTGGTAAATTCAACTTTAGACACAAGGTCTCTAGGCAGGTGTAGTTATTAAAAATATTAGAGTATGATATTGTTTAAAATTTTGGGGTTACTTATTCCACAGACTAAGCTATAAATAGCAAATATTTCATATATACCATGATAAAATAATTCTCGGTGAGTTAAGAGAAAGCATCTTTTCTAGAAATCTTTTGTTTTTAACGTGTTGTAAAACTCTGACAGTCACGTAATTCTCCGTTCTTTATGCCGCCTGATCCACAGCTGAGAACACTATTGGGGCCTTTCTTTTCTTTAAAGAAGCACTACTATATATATTATTTTAAATTTATGTTTTTAAGTTTTAGAGATGCTGATATGGTATAAATTACTGGATTTTTAAAAATTTACAATAATGCATTTGCACTATTTATCTATTCCTCATGCAATTAAATTCTGTGACAGACTTGGGGGAGAGGAGGAGTAACGCACTAAAGAAATCATGATCTCAGATTGAAACATTAAGTGGTAAATAATATTTCTTTTTTCAGAGACTGGATCCCCAATTACAGCGTCATGCATTGGATTAGGTAATTCTAAAACACCTCCTCCAGGACAAGCAGGAAAAAGTGTCCCAGGATACAATGGTGAGATATGACCCTGATTATTTAAAATATGTAATGTTAATAAATTTGGCAATTTTTGTGCATAGTGTGAATCATATTACATGAAACATACTAGGTGCTTAGTAAGTATTTGATTGAATGAATACCTGTATTCAAAAGGAATGCCTTAATTTTTATGAGCCAATTTGATCAAAAGTAAGATTGTAGGCTTCGAAGGACATGTTCTAAATGTCAAAACCAAGAAAATATGTTATATATAAGGCATGTTAAAGGTATGGATGTGAAATAAATATGTATGGAATACCTGCTAGGTGCTGAGTACTTTACATACATCATTTCATGCTGAAGGATATTTAATTCAGAGATATTATTACCACTTCAGAGATGAGTTAACTGGTGCCCAAAGAGACTAAATAACTCTCCTAAGGTAACACAACTGTTAGGTCCTGAAGACAATGCAAACTCTTGTGTTTCTTTTGTTTGTTTGCTTGTTTTTGTTACAAAAGCTGCAGTTTTTCCCATTGTATACACTACTTTTTAATTTAGGAGTGATGATAAGGTTTTTGAAACTCTCGGCTAAAAATAAGTGTAAAAAATAAGGATTCTAAAAAGAAAAATCATTTCATTCATGCCGATGGTATGTAACAATGAGATACAATATTTTTCAATATTTGTTTTTAAATTGGTGGTAGTGATTATAATAGTTCAATAACTACTCTTGGACTCAATTTCCTAGTTGTATAACTTATACAAGTCATCTAACTTTTTTTTAAATTAAATTTATTGGATGACATTGGTTAATAAAATTATATAGGTTTCAAGTGATACATCATATGTATATTGTATCGCATGTTCACACCCCAAAGTCAGATCTCTTTTCGTCACCATATATTTGACTCCATTTAACCCTTATCTACCTCCCCTCCTTCTCCCTTTCCCTCTGGTAACCACTAAACTTTGGTTTGTGTCTATGAGTTTTATTTGTTTGTCTTGTTTGTTTGTCGCTTTCAGTTTTATATCCTACATATGAGTGAAATTATATGGTTCTCAACTTTTTCTTTCTGATTTATTTCACTTAACATGTTAATCTCAAGATCTATCCATGTTGTCACAAATGGCAGTATTTCATCTTTTCTTATGGCTGAGTAATATTCCATTGTATATCTAAATTTTCCATTATATATCTAACTTTTCAAACATTCAATTTTCTTATTTCTAAATGGGAATAATTCTACGTGCTTCATTGTGTTGTAACACAATGTTGTAACACAATGAAGCATTAACACAAGCGTCTGCTAATAGAAAGACTGAATTCAGTCTTAGGTACTAGTATTATTGATATTTAAGGAAAGCCAGATGGACTGACTTGATTTAGACTCACACTTTCATTTTAGAGACAAGGAAAATGAAGCACAGAAGTTATTTGTATAAGGTCATACAATTTAACTTAATTAGATTTATGAGGAAAACCCAGCTTTTTGAGACAGAATATGATTCATACATATATTCCTATTTGCATATAAATTACAAAATTTAGAGATTTGTCTTTTGCTTCTCTAACATAAAAATATTGTATTTTCCTCCAAGGACAATGACTGGTTAAGAAAATATGGGTCATTTGGTGTAACCCAACAGATATATTTATAAAAAGATATTAAGTTTAAGGGCAGAAATAGATATTCTATGAAGTCAGTGACTTCTCCAGGCATGGAAAGGTGAATCCAGTTTTAGTGAAATCTTCCCTTTGAACAGTTCTGTCATCTCTACTCCTTTTGTCAGAAAAACTGCTTTTGTGTTGGGCCATTTTTAGGGGCTGATGCTTCTGGGAGATTTAAACACATTTCCTTTTCAGTAGTTCAGTACCATTTTTATATTGAGTTGTAAGAAAGAGTTAAACTTTGATGCCTCATGGAATTTCAGTACAGAAGTTTCTCATTGTCTGAAAGCCAATTTATAACCAAGGAAATAGTGACTCTGTGACTTATGATCTTTATATGTTTTGTAGCTATTCAGAGATTCAAAAGCATAACATAACATTCAATATTATAATAAAAAAGTAGTATCCTTTTGAGACGGAAAGGAAACCATTTTTGTGTGAAAATCATTCAATGTAATGTAACAGTTTCACATTCATTGAGTACCTTATGCAAGCTTATAACTTTATTATTTTTTTCAAGTAATTCTTGTACCAACACTATGAGAAAGGAACTACTCCCACTTTTTAGATAGGAAATTGAAGGGTAATAGGATGTGCTCAGGGGCACATAGTAAATTGTCCACTGTGCTGGGATTTGTGGAAACAAAGATGAATTAGGCATGGCCTCCACCCTTAATGACCTCACAATCTAGTGAGAGACAGATAGCTACACTGCTAATAATTATAAGACTAGAATTTTAAAACAAAGTGCTCTGGGCACACAAGGAAAGGAGTGATTAATTTTGGGGGGAATAATGTCTTTTTTTCATAGCTTCTTTGAGTAGAATAACCTGGATGGATGAAGCCACATAAAGAATCTATTAAATCTTAAAACATAATGATGTATCCTCATTTCCATTTCTTTTTCCATTAAGGGTTATTGAATGTAGATACAAGCTTTGATCTCCTAAAATCTTTTAGGATTTTAACAGTATAGCACAGAAAGCATTGGAATAAAATTTGGAAGGTTAAATTGACCTTTCAGGCTTGTACGTGGATATGAAGACTTAAATCAGAAAAATGAGATTTCCAGGCTTTTAAATACTTTATTTTTATTGCTTGAAATATTTTTTAGTGTTTTTTTTTTAACTTGACTTGTTTTCTTTAATTTTTGAAAAGCTAAACGTATTTTTAATGCTTTCGATAGAATGGAAAGATACGTTAAAGTGGATATGAATATAGATCATGAAATTACCAGCATGTTTGAAATAGGATGTATTTATATAAGAGAGATTCTGAAAGAAAATTTATGAACTTGTTAGAAATCAAAAGCATGTACTCTGTATTTTTGGTGAGACATTTTAGCTTTCTTATATATGTTCATGGTCTCATAAGAATTATAATACACCTTTCTTAAGCTAGTATTTTGGGTGTTGAAAAAGGAAATATGGGAACACTTAAGCATTAAAGTCATGCATTTTAATTCAAATTTTTATTTATTTGTTTGTTTGATTATTTATTTATGCTTGACTTTTCAGTTATGGTTTTGGATGACAACATGCAAAAACTGAAGGCTCGGTGTTTAGGAAATATTGTGGTAAAGTAAGCAAAATTTTAATACTATTATTTACAAGAGCAAGAATTGATATATAATATTAAGAAAATAATGAAATGCTTGCAGTGATATTACTGAAGAGGAGCTTGCAGAATAAGCTTGAGTATTGTTTGAGAAAACACAGTGCCAACTCTTTAAACATTGAAGGCCTATAAAGTAGAACAAATTGAGATAAATTTTTTAAAAAGATAAATTGTGTATCCTTTTAATAACCTTTTCTGATTATACAAGTAATACCCAGGTGGTAAAAGTAACTTAAATATCAAAAATATAGAGAAGTATAATTACTGTACTCCCACATTTCAGTGATACACTGTTAATTTTCATATTTGATTTTTCTCTTTTTGATAAACATTTTAGATTGTTGAAACAGTTCAGTTTATTCTTGTAGATTGTTGTTTTTCTTTAACCCTATTTCACGACTATTTTTAACTCTTACTCTGTCTTTTAAAAATGTTTATCCCCATTCTAGGCCTCTTAGTTTTTTTTTTTTTAATATTTATGATTATAAATAATACTATGTTGAACATTTTTTGTGTTGTCTTTTCTCCTTTTCTGATAATTACTATGATATTGAATAGATTTCTAAAAGTGTAATTACTGAGTCAAACATCATAATATAAAATCCCTGACTCATCAGGTAGCACAATTCCTTGTTAACATTTTTTTGTCCTTGATCAGGCAAAGTGCCAAAATTTGAAGTAAAAATATTTAAATTTAATATGATTAAATCAATATTTTAAAATTGTTATGCTGGTGGAAGCTGACGTGGAAGTTGATTAAGTTGGGAGACACACAGTATGTGACATTTTAATAGTTGACACAGGTTGCTTAGTGCCTCTGATTAGCATGATATTGACATTTTCACTGATATGGTTTAAGTAGAATATACTGATATGGTTTAAAGAAAATGAGCTGGTATAAATAAAAGACATTGCATGTCAAATTTTAAAAAAAAGATTGTTTTCCCATTTATTTGAAATAATCTTTATTACTTGGCATTCTCAAATTGATATAAGATTGTCTCAGGCTAATATACCATTTGTAGTCATATTTTTTCTGAATCAGAATCTATGTTAAAATAGAGCTGGTTGGAATTTGGCCTGTAAGCGGGGAAATGTTGGGGATGGGGGAGGGCTTGCTAAAGAATTAATCTGAACAAGATTGTGAGCAGATGTTTAGTTTGTTTAGGGAAGCACATGGTTTTTCAGAGCTTTTAAAAACACTCTAGCAGCATACATTTTTATATAACCTCCTAACTTTGAGTGAGTCATCTATTTCATCAAGCAACTTTGCAAGATCCCATGGCAGTATTTGATACCAGCACGGTTTTAAGCCCCTCATGCATTCTGTTACTCTAATTATTGGTGGCTTTGCCCCACATTTGTTCAAAAATAATAAATTATAATAATAGCCCACATAAACTGTATTTTTTTCTTGTAACCATTAGTATGACTTCAAGTAATCGAAGGTAATTAAACTACTGCTTTAAAACATTCGATGGTTTAGATTGGCGCCAATTTAGAATAATTTTTTCTCCCTCTCTATATCTAAACAGGGAATTTTATTGTTCAGATTTGGTATTTTGAGATTTTATTATAAATTATTTGAGGATAAAATATATTATAACATGCAGTAGACTTTGATTCCTCTCTTAAGGTAATAGTAAAATTGGATATTTGAAAATATTATATGTGTAATATATAATAATATGTAATTATATTTGAAAGGTAAAGTAAAAATAATCAAGAAAAAAATTTGTCATCAAGATCTCTCTTTAAAAAAAAAAACAACAGTTTTCGAAGGCTTATTTCAGGAACGTTATTTTTCATCTGTGAGCTAAAGGATTCCCTTTTGAAATCCACACCTCTAGTAGCCATTTCTCTCTAACTTATTGACCTGAAAATTATTCATGAATCCCAATGGCTACTTGCAGTATGCCTAAAATATTTTCATATTTAACATCTATTAAGAAGATTTGTTTGTGTCAGTCCATAGATATTGTGTGTGCCTTGAGGGGGTACATCATTCTTCCAAAATGGAAAATGGCCAATTAACGTTTTTTAAGAGCACATAATAAATAAATGCTTAATTGAATTAAATGAAGGGGAAAAGCACACCTTCTTGACTTAACAAAAATTATTGTGATTAAAAAAAAACTGTATAATTTGAGAGATAATCATTCTTTCCCACATTTTAAAGAAAATCTATGATCTGGAAGCATGGTTCTTTCCAGAGACTAGCTACATGGACCCAGAACCACCTGGTGGCCTATAAAAGGTGTTTTATTAGGGATTATATAGAGTATCAAGGGTTCACAAAATATCCAAAATTCTAAACTTTAAGAAAAATACATTGATTCTCAAATTTAAAAATTTATAATCAAAATGAATACATGTTTAATTAAATATCTATAAAATTTAACATCGTAAGAACTTTATTATCAGTTTGCCTTTAAAAATTTTTCATGTTATTGTGGACAATTTTTAGGTTGTACTTTCTCACTTCTCATGATTTCTGAATATACAATGATTGCTATATTTTATTATCTTTGCACGTTTAGGGGGTAAGGCCACTAGAAATAAGAATGAGGGCCTAAAACTGATCTGGCATCAAAAGCCACCACTGGGCATGCTTTGTATCAAAAACTAGAATAGTCTTTGAAAGAATAATATTCCCTAATGGTATTTTTATGTTCACTAATTATACTTATAGTGATTATAAAGAATAGAGGGGGAAATCTGCATGGGGTATTTGAAATGTATAAGGCTCAAACTATAATAAAATAAGTCAATAAAGATAATAGCTCATTGTTTTAATGTCACATTTGTTTGCTTTCTGTAAGTACAGCTATAGCTTCCTCTTTCACTATAAAATCTGTTGTGAATACTATAACATTGGAAACTATATTTTCCTGGCAGTTTCTTTAAAATCTGTCATATTTCCATACTTTATAAGATACTAAATGTAATAATTCATTTTATTGTATTAAGATGCCCCATTCCCAAATCGGAAAAGTGACATGTGGTTATTTTGAGAAAAACTCTTGATCCCCTTTGGTTTTCAAATTCCTTTGTTAAGGCTTTTTAGAAATCGCAGCTTTGCTCTTCTGGGAATCCCTTAACCAGAAGGTAGACATTTTTGTGATTTCTAAACTACTGTAGACTTTAAGGTGTAATAAACAAGAATCCTGAAGTTTCGTAGATTACTTGGACTCATGGGGTTTACCTTTCTTGTAGAAGAGAAAACCTTATGTCTGCATGAATGTTAGAAAATTACTTTGATTTTGAAACTTACTCCAGGCAGTTAATTTAGTGGGAAAGTTATGATATCTGAATTATTATTAATACAAAATGTTCATGTATTTTAGAAGGTGCTCCTTCAGTTGCATCCAGAACTCCAAATTGCAGAAATAAAACTATGAGTCAGTAATTTCCAGGCAACACAGAACAGGGCATGAAAGAAAATATTAACTGCAATTGCCTTCCTCAGTACCACAGTGCTCACTGTTATTAAAGCTGTAGGTCTCTGGCTCTTCCTCTCTTGTAGGCATACTTTTTTTTTTTTTTTTCTCTGACCAGATCCGGTTGTTGCTATTGGAAGTGCAGGGTGGCTGCCTACTGCTGTGTTCTACTGGCCTGTGCCTTGCAGGCAATGATGGAGTGCGGGGGATCTGTGTGGCTTTGTCTGAGTGCCTCATACTCGGGTGCCTGCCAATTTCTCAGCCTCCAGATATTGAACTCTTGGCCCTTAATGATGTTTGTTCACATCTTTACAGCTTAGAGGAGCGATTCAGTCACTGCACTGCGTCGTCTTGGGAGAGGGTCAGGACAGCTTTCTTTTCATCAGTGTATCCTCTGAGTAAAACCAAGGATGTCATATAATTGTAAAGTTCCTTTCTAAATCTTAGTACAGAGTTTAGTATGATCTTTTAAAGCCTTACAGCAATACTGTGAGGTAGGCAGTGGGACAGATATTATCTTCGTTTTCGACGTGGGAGTCTAAATGTCATTAGTAGTTACACAGCTAGAACTCATATTTATTAGCCAGTCTTTTGTTTGCCTAGAGGGAAAGAAATTATGGCCTAGTCAGTTTCTTTTGGGGAGATAAAAAGTAGCTTCATATGGAAACCAAGGACAGCCTAAAGACCACGTAGGAAAAACTGCAGGAGCCCAGTTGGATCTAACTTCAGGATTCTGTAGGAAACAAGAGTTATGTCTTCAATTTATTTTTGTTACCTTAGGGGTTCCTGGTGGGACAGTGAATATAGACCATCCTTTACCTAAGATTAGAGGGATCTAGTTTTATATTTCAGATTGGTCAGAAATATGTTGCTTTCTACAGAGATGGATGGTCTCCTCCTTTCTTAGCTTTTTAAGGATTTCTCTGCACTCTGATGCCTCCCCCTTACCTCCATGTATTACTGCTGCCTGCTGTTCCTCTTCCCCATTAAAGAGGGTCTCTTTGGAAAGCACATACTCTAAGAGGAACTTCTGGTTCACTATTGTATAGATTGCAGCAAAACTCCCTTTTTCATTCTACTTGGAAAATTGGAAGTGTTGAGGAAGGTATCACAGGGTAATAACATTTGATCTTCGATTTGAAGAATGAGTGTAGACATTAACCAGACTATTTCTTAATGTTTTCATAAATTTTCCTTTCTTCTGCCAGTCCAATGTATTTTTATGTTATTGTAATTACAAAAAAAGTGTTCATTTTTTTTTTTTATTGCTTCAGATAAAGAACCCCAGTGCACTCACCATTCCAGAAGGAAGAGCTGAGTTTAATATAGAATAATGATTAGGATGGCAACATGGAAAGTGTTAATTTGGAATACTGCAAAAAAAAAAAAAAAAAAAAAAAATTCTGCCCTCTGCTCTGGCTCAGACACACCTAACTTCTCTGTGGAGCTTATTGCTTCTCTCCTCACACTTTTTGCTTCATTGATGCATATTCACAAACACTTCCAATTTTATAACCATCTCTTTTCTCATTTTCTTTAGGACAGTTAGATGGTGTCTTCCATGGTTCTTCCTTTAGTGTCTCTTTTCAGTATTCAAATGACAACATTTGTATTTTTAGATACTAGACTTTATTCATGAAGAACACATAGCATTCCCTTATTTTATCCTACTAATTATCAAGTGCAACTTCGCTTCTTACTTTCCAGCATGTTTCTCAGTTACACTTGGGGATAATGAAGTAGCTTGTGGGAGCATAATTTGTGACAGACACATTTGCCATTTCCAGCAGATCCATACCTTGACTAGTGATAAAATCTTCCCTTCCAAAAGCTCCTTGCAGTACAGGGTTTAACTACCTGCTGTTAAACTTGCCTGACAAACGTCTTAAATGTTTACATCAACTTAATGAAACAGACATCATTCATGACAGTCTTTCTCCCTATATGTATTCTAAAGAATACTCATTTCTTGTAGTGCACAATATACCAGGATCTCCTCGGGTCTGACACCAGAGTTTATATCTTTGTATCATTAATGTCTAACATAGTGACTGAGGAGTACCAAGCACTCACCCAACAAATATTGATTGAATGAAGAAAATAAATGCATGAGTTAATTCATGCATATGCATGCATGCATGAATGAATGAATAAAACAATCAAATAATTCCTCTGATGTTTTCTTCTCTAACTTGCATATTTTCATCCTCTCTCCACTGGCTACTTCTATCTAAATCTTCCCCATCCTACATCAGCCTGCCTCTCTGCATTAAACCACCCATTTATATCTCTCCTTCCATTTAACCACAAATTTTTAAAAAGTGTAGTCTAACTTTACTGCCTCCACTTACTTCTTGTTTACTCCTTAATCACTCCAGCTATTGCCTGCTCAACTCTATTGAAATGGCAATCCTAAAATACTCAAAATATCTTAATTACGAAGTTCTATGGCCCCTGTTGAATACACTTTCAAACATTTGCACTTTATTTGACCTTGTTGAATATTTTAATATTGACTGGTCAATATTAAAACTCTGCTCCAGTGGCTCCTATGACTTTTTTTTTCTGGTCCTTTTTTGAAACTGGTGTTTGGCCTTGGATTTCTCTTTATTCTGTACTATCTTTCTGGACAATATCCTTGGTATGTTATTCTTAATTTCCAAGGCCTATAAGTATGTACCAACTTATGCAGACCTTTCTTATGGGAATGATAATCCATATTGTTCCTGTTCTTCAGAAAATTTATGCAGGTATTTAAAGTTTCTTACAACAGCTGTGTCCTTAAATCTTATTTTTTTGGAGGATGGCTACCTATACTTTTAATTCTCTATGCTTTCATTAATTATAAGAATATAGTCTATACGTTACTAATTTCTAGTACCATATTTTTCTCAGGAAGTAAGAGAAAACACAGATTATCTGGCATCTTCTTTGATGAATAGAGGTTGCAAATTTAACCAACTTCTGGGAAGTATAAAAGGTTCCCTTCCTTTCCAGTAACACTTTTACCAGAAAATGCTAAACTCTTGGTCCCATGTACATACCTGAATTTGGTATACGCTAGGGCACTAGGAAACTCAGATTATCTTCAACACACTAAATACAGCTCTAAGTTGTTATTGCAAGCACTTAGGTATCTCCATTTACTGTTAGGAGACAGTATATGGATGCTGGTGGACCAAATCTTGGATTTGGGGTAGATAAAATGAAAGAGGTGGTGCTCGCTTTGGCAGCCCATATACTAAAATTGTAACAATACAGAGAAGATTAGCACGGGCCCTGCATGAAGATGACATGCAAATTCATGATGTGTTCTATATTTTAAGAAAAGTGAAAGAGATGCTTGTTTAACAGTATATCCTTCTATATACACGGAGTTTAAGATGGGCGATGTTATGTGTTTAAGGGTTCGGATTAGCATTTCTGTACATCCATAATCAGGTAGAACTCAGAAACAGATGCTGCCATTAGACCTGACATGTGCATTCTAATTTGCCTCAGACCCCACTACTCTCTGTTGCCTTCAATCCAACCTGAATGTTGGTTGCTATTTATTATCACAGTTACCTTTTATTTTTTTATTGTAAGGATATATTTTGTTACACCAATGTATCTGGTTAAAAAATGTCACCATGAAAGACAGAAAAGACTGTATAACATGCATGATGTATTTCTTGAGAACAACTGAAAATTATTTCTTATTTCATGTGCAGGAATGTATCTCCATCAGATTTATTATTGTTTATTTTACACATAATCAATGTTACTTCTTCAGGCCTGTATTGGCTTTTGATTTACCACCTCTTCTTAGTGTCCTCTTCGCCTCTTTATCCTCGGCATCCTGAACATGCTGCTAACTTGAATGATTTCTAGTGGTTGCCATATTCATATTGTATTTTAATATTTAATAATCAATGACTTTTACACTTGCTTGTAAAATATTAACAACTAAAATGAACCAATGAAGCAAAATTATATACATGGTGATTTAGAAGGATTAACATGGCAAAGTCAGTTAAAAGGACTGGAAAGGATTGCCTGATTCAGCCTGCTGCCTGCAACGGGTTTTGTGATGAAAAGTAATAATAACAATTGCAACAGCTGCAGCATAGCAGTATCTCTGTAGTTTTGTTTTGTTTTTTTGTTTTTTTAACAGGTTACAGAATGCTTTCGCATGCATTTTATGTAATTTTATAAGTTCCAGTAATGCAGATGTAGTATTTGCCTATGGTGGAAGGTTATTTCTCTTAAAAAATAATTGTTATAAATTTTTGTGTGTGGTTGTTATGCTTCTTATTGCAACAGTAATTGCAGATGATAACTATTTGAATGCCAAATGTGTGCCTTTTGTGCCCTTTCCAGTAACTACAGTTATTCTTCAGTGACTCTGCTATGTCATGATCAACTACTTCAGCCTCAATTAGACATGATCTGTCCAGCAGATTTACAGATTACACTTCAGTATGGGATCTGAATTGTAATTATCCATCACTGGAAAATTATTAGTTCTAACCAATCTGTTTATTACCACTTTCATCATAATTCTGACTGCTCTGTTTTTATACAAGGTTGCCATTACCACCTGGGGCTTTTTCAGGACTCTGGAAGAATCAGGAAGCATTCAAGCACTTATACTTTGAAAAGTTTCCTGTAAGAACCTTATTATGTTTTTTTACTTATTATATACTTCTTTATAGTTCTTGACTATTAAAGTGAGCAGCTTGCTTCTAGAGTTATAGATCACAAAGCAACTTTTAAAGATTATCTGGAATAGTTGTTACATATCAGGGATAAGGATGTCCAAACCACAGATGTCTAAATAAGTAATTTTTATGTTTATTTTTATCAGTCTCTGGACATACACATTTCTCAGTTCTCTTAGATGCTTTTCCTGGAATTTAACAGCCCATGTAATCAGGAAATTTTTTGTGAAGTTAAAACTTTTTGGGGCTTCCTATATTATTTCCTCCATTGCAGTGGTCCCCAACCTTTTGGCACCAGGGACCGATACTCCTATGAGAATCTAATGCCTGATGACCATAGGTGGAGCTGAGGTGGTGATGCTAGGGTTGGGGAGCAGCTGCAAATACAGATGAAGCTTCCCTCGCTGGCCCGCCACTCACCTTCTGCTGTGAGGCCCAGTTCCTACTAGGCCGTGGACCGCTATCAGTACTAGCCCAGGGGCGGGGGATGCCTGCTCCATTGGATTCCCATGCACAGACCAAGAACACGTCAGAACTGTACGCTGTCTTTAGGGCCCCTTTACCTCCTCTGCTCCGAGTTATGTGACCAAAATTCATTTGGCTTGCCAGATCTTGTATGTTTTCCTCCCTTTGCCTATTTTTGACATTTTTTCCTGAGTGTTCTCAGCTCTTTATTTAAAAATCCCATTTTAAAATACAGATACAGGATATCAAAAAGTGTCTTCCTGTTTTCTGTTTGTCATTTACCTATTACTCTGTGCCACCATTATGTGTTTTGTGTTTATAACAGCACTTTATTGATAATACATGTGAGGGTGCCTTTCTGCTTTCTTTTCACTTCTGTTTCCCTGACAGAGATACCTGGTCTTTGTTATGCACTAGGTAAAAAGAACGATCAGAATTTAATTAAAGAAAAAAAAAGCGAGTCTAAGTATTTAGCATTCTATCTTTTTTTATTTGTGAGTGAAGGACAGCTAACCTAATCAACTGGACAAATGACAAGAATTAAAATAGCTTCCTTTAGAAAGAGATTTCAGAGTTAAATGACCTCAGTAGCCAAGATTAAACATGTCCCTGAGGGACTGTGGCAGGGAAGATTTGTCAGTGTAGTTGACTCCAGTCAGCCCAATCTATCTACTTGATGGGCCACTGTTAAATCTTCAGAATATGGGTATGATTGATTGCAACCTGAAAATGGCAAATAATATATGCATGTGGTTTTAACATGATCACCTTTAAGATTGAAAGCTCCTTTAAAGCTCCAGTTTATGGTTAAACTGTAAGTACTGACTCTATACTATCTCATTACTCTGACCTCAAAGCTCTCATCTCAGGGGTTAATAATAGCACTGAAGGGCTGAGTAACTTGCCCATAGCTTAGAAGTAACAGAGCTAATATTTTAACCCATATAGTGTGGTTCCAGATTCCATACTCTTTAACTATACTCCAGATTGTCTCTCTAATAGTAATCTCAGTAGTAATTGCAATAAGAGTGCCAATTATTGAGTGCTCATGATGTGCCAGGGTCTGCCCTCTTTATATATACCACCTCCTTTATGCTTCACAAAACACTTATAAGGCATAGTTCGTTACCCCATTTAATAGAGGAACATGCTGTCAGAAAGATTAAGAAACACAAATAGTGACTCACTGGGATTTTCCATAGGTATCAAATAACTCAGAAGCATTAGGCAGGTAATATTCCTTTCTCTCTACTCATTCTTGTTTCTTCATTCTATTGTGACTTCTGGACCAGTGAAGATGTGCTGCTACTTTGAGTTGATTAAAAATTAAATTTCATACTTACTACTTAACTGTATTTTACTGAAGCTCAAGTTCAGTCCAAATTTGTGTTAATAAACTGTCCTCTATTTTGTAATTATTCATAGAGAATTTTAAAGCTTTTAAAAATTAACACAATTAAAGCAGAAATCTACCAGAGCATTACTTTGCAAGACTGAAGTATATTGAAAATATTGAGCTATTACTTCTCAATTACAAAAAAGAAATTGGGTTCATAAACTTTACAACTCTTAAGTTCAAACACTTAATTTGAACTTATATAAGAACACTTCAATTTATTCTTGGTTATTAAGGGAGCAAAGAGATTCTAGTAAGCTTTCAAAAGTAATTTCATTCCATAGGCTAGTTATGAAAAAGTCAAATGCATTCAATAAATTCATTTCTATCACATTTTATATTTTACCAAGCTTGAAAATGATTGCATTACCCAATAGTACATGCTAATTAGACATTATTTATTCTCATTTTCAGGGATACTATGACACCATGGACGCTGGTTACATGGATGAAGAAGGCTATTTGTATGTTATGTCTCGAGTTGATGACGTGATAAATGTTGCAGGTCACAGGATTTCTGCAGGTGCCATCGAAGAGGTAGCGATGAGTATTGGTCTTCTATTTTAGGCAGTGTTTAGAAACAGCTGAGCTGAAGTCAATATTAAGGTTAGCTCATTCCACCTGGAAAGTTACCATACCCTTCATTTGAAGCAGAGGCTAGGTTAGTATCTTTCACCTCACTTCCTCTCCTGTGAGTTTTAACCTCCTCCTACTTCCGCATTCCTATCTGGGTTATAGCGAGGGATTTTAAGCACTTACATCTTATGAGAGAGTCTATATACATTTGCTTCTTGATACTTGCTACTTAATTGCTTCTAGCATCTTGATTTGCTCCTGCTTGAAAACCAGGTTTGTATATAATCTTTAAGTTGTGTAAATTTCCACATTTTATTGTACTCTTAAATCCTGAGAATTTTTTTCCAAGGTAAGTTATACAAAGTCCCCAAGAGTTTTAAAAAGCTTTTTAAAATTTTCACCTTTACATAAAGTAAAATCCACCTTTTTGTTGTTATACAATACTGATTTACTTATATAGATTCAGAAAAGATAAAGAAAAATTTCAGCACTGCCAAAGAATTCCCTTATAATACCACCTTAGTATTCTAACTCTGCCTATGCTTAACTTCCGGTTACCCCTGGTTTTTCTCTGTTCCTATGTTTTTGCTTTCTCTAGAATGTCATATAAATGAAATAATGCAGTATGTAAGCTTTTGAGACTGGTTTATTTCCTTTAGGAAATATACTTGAGATTCATCCAAGTTGCCATATATCAATAATTTGTCCTTTTATATTGCCGTACAGTATTCCATTGTGTGGCCGTACTAACAATTCCCCCTTTACGTGATGTTTGGATTGTTTCTATTTTGAGACAAGTATAAATAATGCTGTAATATACATTCAAATAAAGTTTTGCGTGTGTACAAAAATTACTTTACACTTCTCTAGGATAAATACCTACAGTTGGCTTACTGGGTTATGTGGTTATATGGTTATTCGTTTAGGCTTGTAAGAAACTGCCAAATTGCTTTCTAGAGTGGCCATGCCATTTATCATTCTCAACAGCACTGCTTGAGGTTTCCTATTTCTTCCATCCTTATCAGCACTTGGAATTGTCGTCATTCTTTATTCACACCATTCTAATAGATAGGTAATAGTATCTCACTGTGCTTTTAATTTGCTTGTCTATAATGACTAATATGTTGGACATCTTTTCACATGCTTATTGCCATCTATATATCTTTTTTTGGTGAAATATTTGTTAATATCTTCTGCCCATTTTTTTAAAAAAAATCAGGTTGTTTTCTTATTGTTCAGTTTTGAGAGTTCGTTAGATGTTCTGGATATAAGTCCTTTGTCTGATATGATATTTGCAAATATTATCTTCCAGTCTATGACTGGTCTTTTTTAAAAGTGTCCTTAATAGAGTGAAATTGTTTTTCTTATTGATAAAATCTAATTCACCAAATTTTTCTTTTATAGATCATGATTTAGTGTTGTATCTAAGACTTCTTTCTTAACTCAAGGTCATAAATATTTTCTCCTTTGTTTTCACTTAAGAGTTGTATAGTTTTACATTTTACGTTTGTTTTATTGTTTTACATTTTATATCAGTTTATATTTACATTTTGAGGATTTTTTTTGTACATAATGCCAGATGTTGATCGAGGATTATTATTTTTTTAAATTTGGATGCTAATTATTCCAAGCATCATTTGTTGAAAACACTGGCCTTTTTCCATTGAATAGCCTTTGTATCTTTGTCAAAAATCAGAGAACAATATTTGAGTGGATCTGTTTCTAGAGTATCCCTTCTGTTTCATTGACCTATGTGTTTATCTTTTTCACCAATACTATTTTTTCTTGATAGTGTGGCTTTATAGAGTATCTTAAATTGAATAATGTCTACATTTGTTCTTCTTTTTCGCAATTGTCTTGGGTGTTCTAGTTTTTTTTTTTTTTCTTTTCTTTTCTATGTATATTTTAGAATGAGCTTTTTGATTGTTACACTAATTCCTACATGGATTTTGATTGACATTGTGTTAAATCTATATTAATTGGGAAAAATTGTTATCTGAACTATACTGAATCTTCCAATAAACTTTCTATGTCTCTCCATTTATTTAGGTCTTTTCGATATGTTTCATCAACATTTTATACTTTTTAGTTTACAGATTCGGAACATATTTGTTAGATTTATTCCTAAATATTTATTTTTTCAGCTATTATAAATGTTTAAAATTTTGGCTTCCAAATTTTCATAGTTAGTGGATAGAAATATTGTTGATTTTTATAAACTACTATGTATTATGTGATCTCATTAAGCTCTCTTATAAGTTGTAGGCTTTTTTGTTTGTATTTGTGGATTCCGTGAGATATCCTGTGTAGATAATGTTATCAGTGAATAGAGATAGTTTTAGTGTTTTCTTTTCAATTTGAATGTATTTTTTGTTTTTCTTGCCTTCTTGAAATGGCTATAACTTCTGGTATGATACTGAATAAGAATGGCGTGACCATATATTCTTGTCTTGTTCATTATCGTTGGGTAAAAGCATTTAATATCTTAACATCAAAAACGATATAGGTTTTTCTGTAGATGGCTTTTATCAAATGTGGAACTTTCTTTCTATTCCTAACTTGTTGAGTATTTTTATTTTTTAAATCTTGAATGAATGTTGAATCTTGTCAAATGCTTTTTATGCCTCTATTGATATGATCATGTGTTTTTTTTTAAGCCTGTTAATATAGTGAATTACATTAATTAATTTTCAACTGCTGATCAGACTGTCATTGCTGGGATAAAGCTCACTTGGTTGTAATGTATTATTGTTTTTATATATTGATTTTTAAAATTTATGGTAATTTTCCTTGTTGTGAAGTCAGCTTTGTGTGATCATATAGTAGTTTAATGTTTTATGAATAATGTTTGAATCATTTATCTTTTTACATCCTTTCATTTTTAATCTTCTGGATCATCATGCTTCCTGTGGATTTCCAGTAGGTAGCATTTAGTTAGCTCTTTATTTTTATCCCATTAGACAATCTCAATCTTTTAACTGGTGTTTTTAGACCATTTACATTTAAATTAATTATTGATATGTTTCTGTCTACTAGATTTTTTTATTATTTTTTGAATTTTCTCTTTTTTATTCCCCCGCCATCATCTTTTATCATTTCTTTTAAGTCATTTTGGTTCTATTTTTTTGCTGTTTCCATTTATTCCGAAAGGACTTGCCCCTATTTCCTGGGCCATGGTTTCTATGGATTTTTAAATAATATCTTTGTTAATTTTACCCTGAATGTGCAAAAGTTGTGTTCTGAGTCCAAGACAGATTTCTTAATAAGGGTGTTTGCACGATTTTACTCCAGATCTTATTCCTACGTGACTCAATAAAAGCCAATTGGAAATTTTCCTATATCAGTGGCCAGATACTCCATTGATGAGAAATAAGTAAAATTAGTTTTCTCTGCTTATAAAGAAGAGACATCTTTCACCCCTCCTGAAAGAGTCTCCTTGGAATCCTAATGGCCTCAATCCAAACTTCAACTCTTTGATATATAAATAAAATCTCTTCAGGAGCCAGTGTGTCTCAACTTCTACAACCAAGAAATGTTCCCAAGTTCTGAGGCTTCATCTTCTTTGACAGGTAAATACCTAGGAAGATATAGTGAGCCAGGCTCCGAGCACTTTAGGAGTTTAACGTAGTGTCTACTCTATCATCTTTTGGTCCTCCCAGGGAAACTAGGAAAGTTTTATTTTCCTATTAGAGACAAATGGCTATATATCTAATTCTCTTGATGTTTGAAGATTCTCAGGAGGCTAGAGATTTTTACAGGAGCAAT